CTTGAAGAACAGCGCCACATTCTGGGGAACAAGTTTGTAAAAACTTGAGCGATTCCAATCCTAGCAGCGCCAACCATACTGCTTCCTTCCACAGGATCCTCCTAACTCCCCGCTCCTTGTCTTGGCCCTGAATGCCCCGGAAGTAATCTGCTGTCTTCCTTGCCTGTCTGGAGCCTGTATGAGCTCTTTGCTCCCACCAGCCCTCCACACTGCCTTCTACCCTTATTTCTTGTTTGTGCATGAAGGGTATTGTGAGGACCCACAGCGTGTCCCCCCTGCTGCAGACCGCAGGCACCAGAGGAAGTACATTGGGTTTTGCGCACTGCCAGCCCCTGTCATAAGGTCCCACAGAGACCCTCTGACAGGTGTAGACTGTGACTGCAGACTCAGTGGACCCCGTGTTTCTAGAGGAGAGCACAGACCAGTCTATGGCATCACAGTGGCTCCCTCTGTAAAATGATGATGCCCGCCTCAGATTACGTTTCCACAGAGGGCCTCCCCAGGCTCTGAGCTTGACTTTAACCCTGCCACAATTTCCTGTGTAGATCCTGTGTACAGATGGGGAAACTGAGGCACAGAGCGCTCAGGAGATGCCATCAAATGCTCAGACTTAAACCCTTGCAGAGCCTCAGCGACTTCATCTTAACCAGAGGTGTGTGTGTTGGGGCGGGACAGTTAATCACATCACTCTGCTGGGAAGGGTCAGGGGCTCCAAGGCTGGAACAACGCTGACTACTAAAACTAGACTCAAGGTGACTTCTCCCAGGTCTCCACCCTTTGGTGAGACTCTGACTTGGCTGGGGCCTCAGAAGTAGATTGTGTCTTTACAATCCTATTCTCTTTCCCTTTGTTTGGATTAAGTCATGTGACCAGTTCTAGCCAATGACAAACGAGGAGCTGCTTCTGGCCCAAGCTCTTGCACAGGCCTTTGTCATGCCTGGATGAGACACCAGGCATGTGCCAGGCACACAGGAGATGACCCTTGACCCTCAGTGTGGCCATGGAGCTTCCCTGTCTCTCAACTCAAGGTTGTTTTAGTTTTCTCTGCGTTGTGCTGGGCTTGCCTTCTTTGCACCCACAACAAATACAGGGGTACGAAGCAAAAAACAGAGGGGAAGTGGGGGGTCTTTGGGTATGCTCAGATTTTAATCCAAGCAGAGACCAAGGCGTAAAGGAAGGATGCAGTGTTCACCCTTACAATGCCACCTCCACACACACACACACACACACACACACACACACACACACACACACACGTGTCTGTGAATCTAAATGTCCTGAGGTGGGGAAGAGGGGAAGCAGAGCATGTCAGTGGGGGCTTCTGCCCAAGTGATCTTGCCTCTCTGCCCAGGCCGAGCCTGGTGGGGGTCCAAGGAGAACACACACACACACACACATACATGTGCGCACACAGGTCTTACTTCTGAGATTTGGTGTCACTATCGGTCTTGATCAAGTCCCCGAGGAGGTGAGTAGCCATCTAGGAAAGCCACAGCAGCACAGAGGACCTGGCTGGGGGCGGGGCTGGCTCAGACTGCCCTCCAAGGATACGATGCAGTACAGAGAAGACCTAGGTGTCTCATGAGAGCCGACAACCTGAAACCAGGGCCAGCTGTAAGGCAGGTGGGGGAGGGGCTGACTGCAGTCTGGAGCCAGTGTTGACTGGTCACTGAGCAATGCACGGATAGATCTAGCAGATGGCGCTGGGACACTAAAGCTGCTTCTTGAGGGGCCAGGGAGAGGCAGTCGGAAGGCAGGAGGTCAGCATGAATGACATCATAGGTCTTCAGTTTCAGCCAGGAATGCTGTCCTTAAGATGAAGATTAGCCCTTAGAGAACACAAGCCCTGCTCCTCCTGTGTCAGAATCCAAGGTGTCAGTACAGTCCCTGGACTGACTAACAGTCCCTGGGAAGAGGTCAGCCACCTGCGGGAACACAGGGACCCGCATCTGTCCCCACCTCATCCTGCCTCTGACACGCCTGAGGGTCAACGCTTAGTGTTACTGCGGGTCTTCACCTAAGGCCTTCCTGCTACCCTGGGGCCTCTCCAGTCTCTGGTCCTTTCAGGTTCAGAGGCCAGGCCTGTCCAACCCTATGAACTCTTGTCCTGGAATCCTTCTTTCCTTTCTGGCTCCCTCCGCGTGCCCCACCCTTAATGTCCTCCGCATCTGCTTCTGTTCCTGGTAAGTGTCTCTGGCTCTCTCCCTTCCCTGCAGCTGTACACGTGGCAGCGTGGGGCCCATGGTGAGGGGCCCGCAGGACCCAGCAGGAGGAGCACACTCAGCCAAAGTCATTCATCCAACTGGAATATGCTCTTCAATTGGAGGGAAGCCCCCCTCCGCTTTCCACTATTGCGTGGATGCAATGGGAGCAAAGTCAAGGCTCACACAGTGGGAAGCACTAGTCCAGACCCTGTGACAGGGAACACTGAGGCAATGGGCTCTGACAGAGTGGTTCTAAAGGGAAGCTGCTCCCTCAGAGCCCTCAGTCTGGCTGCAGAGCCCACAGGAACTGGGACCCATACATGGCGCTTCTCACAAGCTGTGAGAATACAAATGTGCTTTGTTTTTTCTGGAACAATAAGCCCTGGTTCCATGATCCCCCATTGTGCACCCTCGTGAGTTAGGAAGTGGGTTCCTGCTGCCGATCCCATGTGTACCTTGAGTCAAAGTCCTCAGCAGAGCAAGAAGATTTGGGATCAGATATTAGGAAGACAATGTACGGTCCAAAAAGACTAAACAAATTACCCCGCATTCTCCATCCCTCCAGCCAAACAAGACTGTCCTGTGCAAAACCAGGTCTCTTAGATAAAAGCCTTTAGAAACTGGGGGGTCTGGTGTACTTTGTCTGGGCTGGGCACCTGCCCGTTTTCGCTCTCTGCTTCCAATCTTCCCACCTCCTTCAAAGTCTTGTGGGAACTTTCCTTCCTCCTCATGGCATTTGGCATTCTCATTTCTGGGACTCGTGTCCACTCTGGACCACAGTACAGGCCTCCTCCCTCTGGTGGGGATCTCTCTGCACCACCTAGCCCCATTGAGCTGCTAAAGGTCCCAACAAGGTGAACCCCAGGCCAGGTTTCACACACAGCCTCTCTCATGTCCAATCTCATCCTGTTCACTGGTTTTCTGTCTGTCTATCTGCCTCTCTCAGTGTGTTTTTATTTTATTTCATTGAGACAGTGTCTGTGTAGCTTTAGTTAGCCTGGAACTCTCTTTATAGACCAGGGTGGCTTTCAACCACAGATATCCCCCTGCCTCTGCCAAATGCTAGAGGTTAAAGGCACCCACAATCGTGCCCAGCTCTCTCCATTTTTACAAACACAGATCTGTCTGCAGCCCTGGCTTTAACAGCCTCCAATTTTATGGAGCCCCTACCCAAACCCCACTATGCCTACCCAGTTGGGAAAGTCTGTCACCAAGATCTAGGGGCTCCTGGAGCTATGCCACTGTGTCAGGGATACCAGTGTGAACACTGTTGGAGACAAACTCATGGCCACCACTGAACCAGGGCTGGGAGGAAGTGGGCATGGTAGTGGGACAGGAGAGTGAGGCAGGGTGCTGGCTTAGTACTGCCTGGAAATGCCTGTGGCTTTGGCTTCAGTAAGCAAGTTCTGCAGGTGCCTGGCACGAAGTTTCCACAGCTGTGGTCAGCTGACCACAAATCCTGCCGACACACAAGACAGCAGATTCGGGCCTTCTTTGTGTTAAAGCACATTAAACAAGCAAGAGCTTGACCAGAGCACGTTGTGAGGCCAGTTCTTCGCAGATCACTGGGAAGGATGCAGGTATCATGGAAAGCCTCCCTTCAGAGCCCTCACGGGCCCCACTCTGCCACTGTGTGGACTTGGCTCCCAAGCAGAAGCAGATGGTGAGCTCTTTGCAGGATGCAGCTTCCACGAGGTGCACAGAGAGCCACCAAACAGTGATGATCGTACAGAACAGGGCACAAACTCCTGTCCTTCCATCCACAGCAGCAGACAGGGAGAGGTGAGGCCGGGGTCACTTGAACAGTACAGCCAAGGGACCGTGCTAGTCAACATGACTGCCCCCCAAAGAATATTCTCTATGAGGCAGAATGAGTGTTTTCAGCTTTTTTCTTTATCAGCATGAGACAGCAGTGTGGGACTCCAAGGTCCCTCACATAGGGTAGTTACCGTGGTTGGTATGTGGTGAATATTACCGATAGGACACCATCTAGAACCACCTAAGGCAAGTGTCTGGGCGTGCGTATGAAGTGGTTTCTAAACTAGGCTAGTTAAGGAGGGATGATGCCCCTTACCTGTGGGTGGCATCACTCCATGATTGGGGTCCAGGACTGAATATAAAGGAGAATGCAAGGTGAGCACTGGGTGCATCTCTCTGCTTCCTGACTGCGGACGTGATGTGACCCGCCGCCACACCCTGGCTGTCCTCTGTCCCCCCCACCGTGGCTGTTTTGTCATTCACACCACTGCAGACTGTACCCTCCAGCCATAATAAACCCTTTGTTCCTAGAATTGCTTTTGGCACTGTATCAAGATTTGTCACTGTATCAAGACAGTAGATAATACAATTGGTGGAGGACTTGGGAGTTCCCGGCTAGAACCTGAGTTTCGGGGACAGTCTCTATGGAAATAATCATTGTGCTGTGGCTGCTGCTACAGGGAGCCACACTGCAGGTGACCAACAGATGTTGTCCAAGAAGGAATATGGCACCTGTCAGGCAACATACCATCTAAACCGTTGTCACCTCCACTTTGAAGGTAGTGAAGTTGAGGCTCAGATATATGGCGACTTACCAGGACCCTAACTGACACTCAGTGGGTCCCCACTAACTCCAGGACTCCGGCTTCAACTGTGTGAGCAACTAGAGCTGATATTTCTTTGTAGGCAGAGGACACAGAGAGTGAATCCCTTAGCAAGGCTTTGTTTCTGTGAAGCCTTCTATCTGCTCCAAGCAGGGCCAGAGTGGCTACCTTCCAAGGCAGGAGAAGGGCATAGGGCAAAAAGTACCAGGCTGAATTGCCAAGAGAATCCAGTAATTTTATTCACACTGGCCAAGCAGGCAAGGACAGTCGGGCTGAGTGTGGTTTTGTTGAACCAGCCTTCACAGCACGTGGCAGGCCTTGCCTTTGCCACCCTGCCATGGCTCCCTTGACTGTAAGCACCAGAGATGCCTGCCCAGGACCAGTCCTGCCCTGGGTCTGCAGAAGCACCAATGGACGGAGGCCACCTTCCCCTGAGAAGCTTGGGCAGCCTACAGTGGAAGAGGGGAGGGTTAGAGGGGCCACCAGGCCACACACTCTGGGAAAGGCATGGGGGGTCTCGGTGTTCCTGCTTCTCCATGACCTTCCCCAGGGCCTGCCTTGGCAGCATGGCTCAGAGAAGGCCCCCAGGTAACCTGAATGTCACTGGCTTCAGTCCCTAGACCTGCTTTGGGCTGAAACCTACCACCTCTGCCTGACTCCCCATGATGTCTGCTAGGGCAAATAGGCAGGTGAAGACCTGAAACGGAAGCCACCTCCTGGGAGTCCTTAGCACCTTCATTAGCCCCAGTGTAACACTGGGCTTTTGAGGGGCCAGGAGGGTCAGAGAGCACCTAGTACGTGGTCTGACCATGGTCCTAAAGTCCTGGGGAAACAGGCAAAGAGGGCAGGAGTCTTCAAAGATCAGGGAGGAGAATGGGCTCCAATTCACGTCCAGGCACCCTTTTACCCTGGGTGCCTCCAAATTCCTGGGTCTCCTCCTAACCAAGACTATATCTAGGGTTTGCTTTAACGCTGGGCTTCGGGCAAGAAGGTAAAGAATGTGAAAAGGACATTATCCCACTCCAGCACCCAGGCCACCACGGGAGCAGTCAAGAACGGCCCATGCTGCCTAAGCACCCAGTTTAGAGGAGCACCCAGGAAGTGCTCAAGTCTTTGTACCCACTTGAGCACACAGCAACCTCTGTCCAGGTTCCTGGGCATTCGCCAGGGGAGGGCCAGGACCTAGGTCTAATTAGCCTATGTTTTCCTCAGGCCTGGGACCAAGTGAGCAGTCAGAATTTGATGGATGCATACGTGAACAGTGACTAGAAAAGAGGCTGGGGGAGGGGCAAAAAGGGCAGGGGCAGGGGTTGGGCCCAGGGTAAGGAAAAGACCTGAGGATGCAACAATCCTCGAGTTTCCGGCGGGGGGGGGGAATTCCAGAATGTTTGGGAAGTCCCTAGAATGCTAGGAACGTTCTAGGGAGCCCAATTCCTCAAGCGCCGTCCATAGACCTGCGGCATCAGCATTATTGAGGAAATTGCTAGAAATGCAGAATCCTGGGTCCACCCCCAAATGCCAAGCCAGAATCTACCATACAATGAAGTCCCCAGGGATGAAAAGCACGGTAGTGTGTGAGGAGAGTCACTCTAAGTCTCTGAAAAATGAAGCCAGGAGGGGAGGGGGCGGAGACAGACTGTAAGTGATGCTAATAATCCAGCCCTGGGGGAACCTACAGGACCTGCCCTAGCCACCACCTCTCCCCTAGCGGCGAAACTGGTCCGGGAAGGTCAGTCCTCCGCCTTGATCAGATGGCCGCTGAAGGTGATGTAGGTGTCCACGTCGTCGCTGTAGATGGCGTTCTCCCGCTCCCGCTTGAAGAGCCGCACCCACACGTGGTCCCCGGGCTCCAGCGGCAGCATCACACTCTGGCTCTGCATGATGCTGCGCTCACTGGGCTGCGCATAGAGGATCACGGCCGCCTGCTCGTTGTGGACGATGTGCACGTAGGTCTCCTTGTAATTCCAGCTGTGCACGTTGAGGCTGAAGAAGTAGAGGCCGCGCAGGGGGGCCGTGAAGCGGCCAGTGGTCATGTCGAAGTGGCCGTCGGTGTTCACGAAGACCCTGTCGAACAGCAGAGGGAGGAAGTCCTCGCTGCTGTGCAGGGCTGTCTTGCGACCCACAGAGAAGGCCGAGTAGTGCGCCTGGCACGAGCTGCCAGGGTTGCCTGCCTGCCCCTTGTTGCCTTTGACACCCTGAGAGCCCCGGTCCCCTCGGGGACCGTCTTTGCCTGGCTTCCCTGGTGTTCCTGGAGGACCTCTGTCCCCTTTGTCACCTGTGAGGACACGAAGGGGAGAAGTTAGGACAGGCGATGCCCACTTCCCAAGTACACAGGAGTCCTCACTTGGCAGGAGAGGGCAGGACATCCGCTCAGCATGGCCCTGTCCATCTCCACCCTCCCTGGCAGTGGTGACCTGGTTACTTTTCCAGACCTGGCTCCAGGCTGAATTTGAGCATAGACAGGACACCTTCCATCCTACCCCAAAACACACCTAGTGTGCACTGAAGAGACCTGGCTCCACATTTGTCCCTGGTGAGGCTGTGGACTTCCTCAGGTTCCCTGGACCAGTGAAGCCAGTAGAGAAGAGGGTAGAGAGAGAAATGAAGGCACAGGTCCTTGGAGGCAGACCAAAGGAAAGGGAGTGGGGGTGTCCGTGACTATGGGATGGCGCCACAGATGCCACCTCCCGGCAAAAGCACCTCACTGAGTACCGAGCTGAGGAGGGGGCTGTTTTCCTTCTACCCAGATGCTGGCAAGAGGTCAGCCTGACCCACAAGGCTTAGACACGGCTCCAGATGCTAACCAAGCACCCTTGGTGCTACAAGGAACCGTCTTCTGAAACCTGTGCAAGGGCAACGCAGGGCTGAAGATGGACAGTCACAGCAAAGGGTCACCAGGCCTGGGCCCCTCCGCCTCCAGAGGCTAAGCTACCTGAAGTTGCACTGAGTAAGGCCATCAGGCAAGGAGACCAGGAAGTGACCTCCCCCAGGTCTAGAATGAGCGTGCGCGGGAGTCTCAGGTGTGGACTGGCTATGAGAGGCAAGTGCCGTGCTCTGTCCCTGACATTGAGGTGACTCCAGAAGACCCCTACTGGACACTAAGCTTCCCTATCTGCACGTGGAGGAGCAATCCAGTCATCCCCTCACATTGGGCGGGGGCATTGTGAGCACAGCTGGATGTCAATGGTGTGGCCATGGCCATCATGGATCCCATCACCAGGATGGAACTAATTCCCTCACATCTGAGGCTTTACATCAGGGAGTTGCCACCCCCACTTTCAGCCATAGAGCTCCCCCCGGTCTTTACACTTTCACCTCTATCCTGTCATGTGCCCCACATGACACCAATGGGGGCCAGATCCTCTCTCTGCTCAACCCCCTGATCCCACAGAGAGAAACCCATATCCTGGTGGTAGCTGGTGACCCTGTGGGCCCACACCTTTCTCCCTGTGCCATCTCCTTTCACACCCCTGCCGGGAAACCCCTTTCCCTGTGAGCCTAGGCTTACAATTCACCTTCCCAGGAGCCCCATGAACCTGCCCGGCTCGCTCTGCTGCCTGTGCCCCACACTACACCCCAGTACCCCTCAGCTCACATTTTGGATCCCAGGGCCTTTCCCACCGAGTCCTTCACTCTGAACTCAGAACAGTACTTGCACATTCTAGGGGCTATGCATATGCAGACCTAACGCAGGCAGAGCCCAGGCAAGGCCTGCCCAGGTTCCTCTTGTTCTTCCTTCCCCCCTCCCTTCTTCCTTCTTCCCTTCTCTATCCCATACCAGTTCCGCCAGGCCAAGACTCACCCTTCAGGATGGTAATGTTGATGTAGGGCCTGACCTCGGGCAGAACATAGGGGAAGTGGGGGGAAGCAGGGCCTTGGACAGGGTCAGCAGAGGACAGTGGTTCCTCAGGGTCACAGCATCGTCGGCAGCCTTTGCTGAGATGGGAGGCCGCAGATTCCCCAAAGGTGGGCTCCTCTGTTGGAACTCCGAACACAAGGGGAAGCAGAAGCACTGCCCAGAAGGAACCGAGGCTGTCTGTCCCCATGGTGACCTGGACGGAGAGACACATTTGACTCAGCATATCTGGCATGTCAATGCCCAGGGGTAACATTATCTCCGGTAGCCAGGGCAGACCCAGTGTTACTAGCGGGAGTAGGTAGAACCTCCTGTAACAGGCAAGTCCGGGGCCACCCGGGGAAGCAAGGCTGAGGGCAGCAGACTGGCCACCGAGCCTCCTGCCGTCTCTCTGTTGTGACCACGGCCACATGGCCTGAGAAGAATGAAGCCGCTATGGAGACCCTCACATGGCAGACACCAGGCTCCCAGGCCTTTACTGGGGCACCAAAGAAGATGCCAAATGTCCATGTGGCTAACCAAGGAGGTGGAGAATGTTTCTTTGGCCCCCTCATCTCTAAAGGCCAGGGCTCTCACCACCACCTGCAGGCACCACAGGCAGTGGCTAGAGCGGGGGGGTTCCTGAGGATCAAGGCACTGGATCCTGCAGGCCTCTTCTGTGCAGAAGCAGAAGTCTTGAAGAAGTCGGAAAATGAGACATCCCCTTTGGAACAACACAAGGTTGAGGATATGCAGCTTAGTAGGACTCACCCTTCTGGTATCTTTGTACCCTCAACAACCCACCTTCAGCCTGAAACCGCCCTGCCCCCGGCTCCCCCACCACCACAGAGAAAGCTCGGCGTTCAATCATTGGAAGATGGTTGTATCAATCATAACAGGCCTACCAATCAGCATCTAAGGTGGTAAATTGAAATTAAGGGGTGAGGGAATCAAAAGCACTGAGAGATCAGAATTAGTGACGTTCCATCTTGGGCCTTGAACATGAAGGGGTCCAGAGTTTCCAGAGTGGGGCAGGAAGTAGGCCGGACACTAAAGAAAGAGCCTGGACGGGTGGGCAGGAAGCCCGCAGCGGGCCTTTGAGGTGGTGACAGCCTCGGGGACTGGCGCCGCCTGATTATCACAGATCAGAAACTGCTATTGAAACCAGACTGGTTTTTACACCTCTGGCGGCTCTTTGTTTATTTCCTTTTTGTTCCCCGTAACGTTTAGTACAATTCAAAAATATTTTTCTGTGGTTAATACAGGCTGAGAAGGTAAAATGATTCTTCTAGAAAGGTTTGAAGAGGGAATAGGGGTTAAAGAGACAGAAGCTCTTGGGGCTTCTCCCCAGCGGCCAGGGTGATGACAGGAGGTGTCTTACGAGACACCCCAGTTCTGGAATGATCCAGTCCACACTTCTAGGTTTTGCTGGTTCTGCTCCACCAGGCAGGCAAACCTCTCAAGAGACCAACCACCCCTATTTCCCTTAACTCTAGGTTGCAGCAACAGCAACACCCACCCTACCCCACCCCACCCCCGCCGCTGTATTTGGTCCAGAGATGTGTCCCACTCTGTGGGGGACATCTGAATAACACAAACGGTGTGACCGAGGCCTGTGGCTTAGCCCTTCTGGTCTTCACGCTCTCTCATTCACACGAAATGCCATCCTGTCTTCTTTGCCAGGCTATATAGATGACTGACACACAGGGAAGCTGCCTAGTTTGTCATATACTTCAGATACTTCCAAGAGTCCATTCCTTCTTCTGCCTGGTAGCGACCTCATCCTGGCCTCTACAACTTGAAAGGCACAGAACTTCTGGAGTGTCAGCATGGTTTGGAGACATTTCTGTTTCCTATTGGTCTCGCCCCTGGGGAGTCAGAGGCTCAGAGACACAGACGGGGTGGGGGGAGGAGGCTTAGGGACGGAAGCAGGAGGCAACGCTGGCTCCCTGGAAGCAGCACTGGCGGCTCTAACTACAACTAGGATCCCTGGCTGGCTCCTGGGATGGGGCCAGTCAGGACTGTGGTGGGAAGGGAAGGTCACACTAACTGTAGAGCGATCTTGAGGGTCCCCACCATCTCTACTAAAAAGCCAGAGCCTCTTGGAGGTGGCTGAGCTCCCACTGGCATCACCAGTAAAGTCAGAGCTGGGCTGAGAGGCTAGGGGAGCAGGAGTCACTGCAGGGGGGGGGCAGATAAAAGCCAGGAGCAGTTCAGGGTGGCAGAGAGGAGGAGATCCTCCAAGGAGCTGGCTAGGCCGGAGGGAAAGAGCTATGTGCTTGTCAGAAAGAGGGGAACAGAGAAATCTCAGACTCTGACCGCAGCCCCCAGCCCAGACAGAAGCAGAGAGGCCTCCGGCCACTCACCCTGGTCCTGCAGCCTCAAGCTCAACTCACAGACCCGGGGCGGCCTCTGGCTCCTTGGCCCATGTCTGTGATAATAGCTTGTAGCTGGCCCGACCCCCAAGGCCTACGACTGAGCTGGGAGGGCGGAGGGATGGAGGGAAGGAGGAGGGAGCCCGCTGAGCTGGCTTCCCATTCCCCACCTCCCGCTCCCGCCCCTCCAGCCTGGGGCTCTGCCTCAGAGATACTGGGACATGTTTGGAGCTTTACTTCCTTGGGCATCTGAAGCCCAGTCCCAGCCATGGGACCCTGCTTGAGTCAAAGGCCCTGAGAGTTTAGACGGACGGACGAGGGCAGGGGCCTAGAAATACTTGGGCGTGGAAATCAGAGGAAGCGAGAGAGGGGGCAGGGTTTTCCATTACTCAGGAAAAGGGAGGCAGCGCAGGGAACTCCTGCAGCTCTGGTTTAGTCGGAGCCCAAGAGCCATCTGCCAAGAGCTACAGAGACAGGGAGGGTGGCGTGAGGGCACTAGTGCCCATTCTCCATAGGCATAAATCCCGGTCAATCTAACCTAGCAGCCAGCAACACGGTCAAGCACGGCCTCTTCTACCCTAGGTGGTCTGGTCCCGCCCCCAGCCCATTAGCACTAGACCAAGGTGACTTGCTCCTCCTCCTCCACCTGGAATCCTGCCTTTATTGATTCAACCTCTGGTCTCCTTAAGCCAGCTGCCTCACAGAAGTAACCCCCAAGAAGCTCATGGGGGTCCTGCCTCAGTTTCCTCCTAGGCAGGTTAGGGGAATTTTAGCAAGGGCCACAGATCAGGGTCCTAGTCCCAGCTTCCTGGGGCCAGAGCCCCTGTGCACTATTTCCCACCTGAGTTAGATGTCACCTCTCTGGGGACCTTGGTCCTTAAAAAGTGTTTAGACCCACGGCTCCCCCACCCCCCCAATCCTCTGTCCAGCCCAGGTAGAGCAAGCAAGTTAGCAGCTAGAGGGTCTTGGCAGTAACACTGCTCTCCAGTTCACTACTTTTCAGACAGATTTAGGTCTGGGACTTTCTGGCCCCAATAAAGCCCCAATGCTTTGGGTCCCTGACAGAGCTGTCTCTGGGCCCAGGCTTCCTGTGTGTTTAAGCAGACAATCCAACAGCATATCAGGCCTGGAAGGAGCCTCCGAGATGATCTAATCCCATCCCTTAATCAGGGACATCGTGGCCCAGGGAGCTCAAGGCTTTGGTACAAGGTCACATAGCAGAGCTGAGTCCAAATTGGGAGGATGCCAGACTCTTCTAGGCTAGCCTCCCAAAATGACTCAGAGTCCTCCGGTCCAGTCAGGAATACCGGGGGTAGGGGACAGAAGAAAGCAGACAAAGCAGACAGAGGGACAGTTGCCATATAGGGACCACTACCAGGCCCACACTGGCATGGTCTCTGTGTAGCCTTGCCTGAACAGCATTCCCAGGGCATTGAGCCAGTCCTGCAAAGAGGCTCCCCACTCCAAGCTGCAGCCACCAGAGCAAAGGGCTGAGTCAGCAGCCCTGGGGGTGGGGACAGGACCCAGTAGTCTCAGTTTTCTGGTGTAGAAAGAAAAGATGGAGGGAATAGAGAAAGGGGGGGCACGGTTCTGTTGGAGGCCAGCTGTGTGCCTAGCACTGGGCTCCCCACTATGCTCGGCACCCCACTTATAGGGCAACACTGCTCACTCCACCTTAACCGTTGAGGTGGCTCCAAACCACTGACATCAGCCATGAGGATGTCCCAGGCAGGTCAGATAGATTTGAGACCGCACCCCAGTCCTGGAGTAGACAGACAGACAGACTCTGTTGCATGTCCTTCTTCAAGTTGTGAGACGTTGGGTAAGTTTTCTTCCTTTCTGAGTATTTTGTTTGTTTTGTTTCTCAAGACAGGATTTCACTGTGTAGCCCAGGCTGGCCTCGAACTCACTGAGTTCCGCCTGACTCTGCCTCCCGAGTGCTGGGATTAAAGGCAAACACGTCACCACCGCCTGGCACTTCTCTGAGTCTTAATGATCCTGGGTCAGACAATCTTGACTCCAGGATAGTAAGAGTGTCTGGGAATAGTCAAAGGTGTTTCCTCCTGGCTGTTTCGGTTAAGCTCTGTATGCTGAGGCACACACTCACTTTTCTCAGCACACCTGCCAGTAGATACCCCCTGGGCTTATGTTGTCCTCCTCTTTCATAAGCCTCTATGAGCAAATTTGTACCAGGTCACCAAGGGCAGAGTCTCACGGTGTGAGTCTGTTTCTCCGCTCACTCCTGCCCTTTCTGACTTCCAGGAGCCAGGATGATTTGCTGACTCCAGAAGTCAGCTGTGTAAATGGCAATTCACGGTTAGAGTTCAAGGTCACTGCCAAGTTAGCAGTTGAACTACTGAAGAGGAGGGCGCCACCTCCTGGGGAGAGCCAGCGTGCGGCCCAGCAGCCAGCACCCCGCCAATCCAATCTGGTTGGAGACCTGAGGTCCTCTAAACCTCAGGACCCCAAAAAGTAGACAGGGTTCCTCTGACATACAGCCCCGTGAGAACAGCTCCAAATTGGCTTTACTGGGCGCCCATCTATTGGGCGACCCAGGCTAGACCCTCCAGGCCCAGCCAAAAGTGGGCGAAAAGATGAGTTCAAGATCCCCAGGGCCCTCAACAAGGAAGCCAAAACCGGAGGGGAGCCGAGCAGAACCGAAAAGGGCCGACCAGAGCCGAGTCCAGCCGAGCAAGGCAGAGTAGAACCGAACAAAGACGATTTTTCCCGAGCCAAAATGAACAGATTCGGATCCATCCGGTTGGGATCCGACAATGGCCGAATAAAGCCGAATCTGAGCGAAGAGAGACGTGAGTGCGCTGAGGTTCACAGGCGCCCCCTGGCGGACACAGAAACATTGGGTTGACCAGAGCGGGACTTATTGGGAGTCCTGTGATAGTCCTATAAAATAGGATCGTGGGGTGCACTTCAGGAATGAGGAAACGGAGGCTATCCTCGGGTCCGAGACTGTCTCACAGGCCTCTGAGCTGGGAAGTGAAGGCTCTGGAGTTCCTTTGATGGTGTGTGGCCAAGAATACCCCTGCCACTTAAAACTCACGTGTAAATTTGGTTGTGTTTGCCAATTTATTGCAGTCAAAGGCCTACAGAGATCTCCCTTGTGGAAGGCTAGCAGAGTTCAGATACAACCATGGTCTCACAGATGGAGAAATCAAGCCGGCTTCTGAGGTGTTGACCAAGGGTGGTGGAGTGGCAGTTCCCATGAGCAAATATTGACACATTTCCTGGCCATTAAAGCAGAAAACCGGACTGAAAAGAGGATGTTCTGTCCCTGTTCTGCAAAGCTTTGAAGCACCCTGCCCCCACTCCAGGCCTCAGTTTCCCTACCTGCAGCAAGATAGTAGCAGAAGATATGACCAGGATCCCCGGTATCTGGATCCTAAGGAGAATGAGGCATTCCCTGGAGCCAGTGAGAAAGAAAAAGCTGTTTATACACATGAACAATTCACCCCAATTCACCCCTATGCTTCAGCACTCTGGAGTGCCTGCCCAAGGCTGCAGGGTTTGGGGTGCTGGGCCTGTGAAAGCAACTGAGGCCCTGTGTGGCCTGGGTACCTCCTCTGCTATATACACTTTCCAGGGTCATTGTGTGCCACCAGGCTGCTGGCACAGGTAGTCTCAGAGCACCCCAATCCCCAGCATCACTTTTCCCACCTAGCACGGGGGAGGCTGAGGCAGGAAGATGACCCCCTGTTCTCAGTCTTCTTTCTGATCGTGACATTGGGCAACAACTGTGACATCCCAGACCTCCAGAGAAGGTCTTGCACGCCTGTCCTGTGAGCACACTTCTGGATATGCTTGTGCAGGCCCTGTGGGCACCAGGCACTGGCCTAAGGCCTAAGCTCTGCAAATGATAACGCTTTAACAACCTAAACCACAAGTTACCCTGTGAGGAAGAAACTGAGGCAAGGAGAGGTGAGTTTGCTGGCTCAGGGTCAGACAGCTAGGGAATGGATGAGCAGGGACTTAAGCACAGGCAGCCCGAGTCCACACGCTGTCACCCTCTGCTGTCCCCTTCTTGGCTCCTAGACAAACCATCTGGCCTCTGAGTTGAGCCTTTAACAGTGCCCACATACCACACGCTGCATGAAGGATGAGCAGGTTGGTTTGACAGACCTTCTAGGGACCCAGGAGGGACGAGGTCACTAATACCACATGGCAAATGGGCAGTGGTCTTCATCAGTACCACGGCCGGGAGCTTCAGAAACAAAAGCTTATTGTGTTGGTGGGGATAATGGTGCATGCCTGTCATCCCCGCACTTGGGAGACTGAGGTAGGATTGCCATGAGGTCCAGGCCAGACTGCAGTACAAAGTGAGACTTTACCCTGAAATAGAGAAAAAAAGGGCTGAAGAGAGGACATAGCTGGTAAAGAGCCAGCTTTGCAAGTGTGAGGACCTGAGTTCGGATCCCTTGGGACCTGCATTAAAAAGTAGCTCATGGTCACATGTACCTTTAGCTCTAGCAAGGGCTCCAGTAAGAGACCTTGCCTCAAAAGACAAACAGGAGCCAGGTGGTGGTGGGGCTCACCTTTAAACCCAGCACTTGAGAGGCAGATCTCTGTGAGTTCAAGGTCAGCCTGGTCTACCAAATGAGTTCCAGGACAGCCAGTACTGTTACACAGAGAAACCCTGCCTCAAAAGAAACAAACAACCTAAAAAGCAGGGAGAAATTGGGGAAGACATCTAACATGGCCTTTGGCACATATGATGCACACATATGCACGCACACACACACACACACACACACACACAAAAGCATGCACACAACATGGCCTTTGGCCTATACGTATGATACACATATACACACATGCACGCACACACACACAGAGAGAGAGAAGCATGCACACAAGTTTATTGTGACCCAGTTCTGGAGTCCAGAAGTTCAGGACCAAGACATCAGTCTGGTAGCTCTGCTGGGGACTTTGGGTCTGTTCCAAGCCTCCTCCTGGTTTTGGGGAGTTTGATGGCACTCTCAGTATCCCTTGCCTTAGAGAAGTATCCTCCTACTCTTTGAGTGTGGGGGGCTGAGTTAAGGCAGGGTCTCACTCTGTAATAAAAACTGATCTTGAACTCAAGGTAATTCTCAGCCTCCCAAATGCTGGGATCACAGGTGTGTGTCGCCCCACCTTTCACCCTGATGACACCTCGGTGCTATCCTTGTGTGTGTCTGTGTCCAAAGCTCTTTCCTTGGGGACACACATTGTATTGAGTCCACCCTAGCTGAGCATGACTTCCCTCCCCACTTACATCTGCAATGACCTTGCTCCCAGAAGAAAGGAAACAGAGGCTAAGATTTCAATATAGGGGCCGCAAGGGACACAATCCAGCCTCCAACTCCAACAGAAGTCAACTCTTCTGGACACCATGACTTTACCCTCAGCATGGGACGTCACCTCTACCCTTCCCTCCCATGACCTTGCTGGCTCAACACACACCAGCCCCTCTGTCTGGCACACTCAGACCACCACGCCCAAATGGTCGCATTCACAAGTGGCCACCTGGGGAAGTCCAGATGCAGGAGCCATGCCCATAGACCCCAGCTACCTTCCCTCCATAACAGTCCAGTGACTGGCTGACCCTCCGAAAATTCTCTGTTAAGTGAACTATGTCCGGAGAAGTGAAAAAAAATGAAAAATGCTACACAGTAGGTTCACAGTGAAGCCTAAGGCCCAGGACACCTAATGTTGGATCTCATTTTCTGTGTGTGTGTGTGTGTGTGTGTGTGTGTGTGTGTGTGTGCGCGCGCGCGCGCGCATGTGTACTATGGCACACATGTGGAGGTCTTAGGACAACTTAGAGTCAGTTCCATCCACATGCCTTTGGAGGCCAGAAGCGGGTATCAGATCCCCGGGACTGGTTACAGGTGGCTGTGAGCTGCCCTGGCTTCCAGTCCTCTGGGAAAGAAGCATGTACTCTCCTTAAACTCTGAGTCTTCTCTCCAGTCGCTCTCATGCCTTTTAGGTCATGCATCTTCCCCCCCCCCCCCACACACACAACTTTATGTGGACTCCCCGAGGGCCTGAGGGTTACCAGTAGCAGGAAGAACCCTGAGACTTTGTCAGGACCACATATTGCTCACCTCGAAGAGCCCCCTTACAACACAGCCCCGGTCCCTCTACTCAAGATTTTTCTTCTGAGGTTCTATGGAGCCCAGTTGTCACCTCTCTTTGGGACAGTGGCCCACATCATCTTTGGATAAAGGGGTTTTTCCATCAATCCATAGCCTTGTCCTCTCCAGCCTCAGGCTCTGCAGACTCCACGCTCTTCTCCCAACACGCTGTCGCTGATGCAAGTCCCAATCCAGAAGCTGGTGGCCATGGGCTGTTGCCTGGCAACGATCTCGGAGCGACAAGATCAAGGTAAGTCAGCAACTTCCATGGCTGAAGAGGAGGACGGAGGCAGGCTTGACGGTCACTGCCTTTCTTTCTCTGCCCAGGACTAAGTGGCAGGTTCTAGTCCCCAACCCAAAACAGGCTCCTTCAGTTTCCCTTGCCTGCCCCTGGCGCATTTGTTCCCAAACACAGCTCTAAAGCAGACTCCTCAGGTGTGACTGTGGCCACAATGACCCCGCTCATGTGTTCATTCCAGAGACTCATGGGAAGAACCATGGCTGCCCTGACAGGCCCTGGAGACACAGCTGCAGCACCCCAGCACTGCAAGGTCAAGGTTTTCAGATGCATGTGGACCCATGTGCATGCACTTCAGCATGCCCAGGCAGTGGCTCCCAATGTGGGTACGTTCAGAATCGTGGGTGTAGAAGAGAAACCCTGGGCCATGTGGACACTTCCAGGTAACTCCCAGGCACTGGCTGGTGTTTGTACCTGCACACAACTGCTTGATAGAACACTTAGGACACATGCCCTACTACACACCATGCACTGAAGAAAGCTACACACACACACACACACACACACACACACACACACACACACACAC